TGCCGAATGCAGGAAGCTCACAGGCCAGTGGGTGGAAAGTCCTGAGGATCCAATGGCAGCAGAAGTATCTCCGGGGCTCCGGCTGTCAACAGCTGGCTCCATATTGCTTGTCAACAGGAATGTAAAGCACAGGACGAGTGTGTCCTGCCTCCAGGGAGGAAGAGAGGGAGTTCCTGGAAGCCTCATGATTAGGCCATGCCCCAAAAAAGACTTCTTCAGGCTGGGACCTGATTGACAGGCTAAACTCCACCCCTTCATTCTTCTAGTAAGTTGACATGGAATTGCGTAACTACCACAGTTTGGTTTGGGTTTAACATCAGGCAAATATAAGGAGATTCTCTGTAGTTTCTGGGCATTTCAGGAGATTCCTGCAACTGACACGTTTGACTCTGAGCCATGTATCAAGTTACAAACAATTCCAAAGTGGTTAGAAAACCGACTCACTGCCGTTGAGTTTATTTGGACTGAGCAAACCTATAGGACAAGCTAGAGCTGCTCCTGCGGGTTTCTCAGGCTGTTTAACTCTATGGAAATTGAAAGCCTCATCTTTCTCCCAAAGCAATTTATGTCGGGGTCAAGGAAGAGATGGTGTACATTAGACCAACTGTATTTTGTAAGGTGGATTTTTCTAACTACATTAAGTAAATGCATGGTTTACAACACTGAAAGCACTTCCCTAGTAGGTCTTTTCCCCAGGTGGCCTCTCTACAATAGTGTACCCAGTGCAGAATTGCCTCTTCAACATCGGCTAAGGGCCAGTTTCAAGTCAAACTTCAGCATAGTTTCCCCGAAAGTAAGACATCCCCCCAAAAAAAGACCTACTTACAGTTTTGCCTCTCGCTGAAATATAAGGCATCCCCTGAAAATAAGACCTCCTTGAACATAAGGCCTCCCCTATAATAAGGTCCCCCGAAGCTACTGTAATTCTAGACTCTGGATCGTAGCGACGGGTGTAGCCACACAGCTCACCGTTGGCCATAGCGCAGCGGAGCAGCCATAGATTATGAGTAAATGTACCATAGATTGTTGTACATGGAAATAATGGTAGTAACAAGACATTTTTTTTTTTTTCCTCAAGAAATTTTGATACTGTAGGATTCAGTTTGTCTGGTTATGCTGGTTTGTGATGACAACTACTACCGTACCATATACAGGTAATACATTTCCTTTTTCTGTTGTTCAACAATAAATGTGTATCATATTCTTCTTCATGGAAAAATAAGACATCCCCTGAAAATAAGACCTAGGGCATCTTTGGGAGCAAAAATTATTAGAAGACACTGTCTTATTTTCAGGGAACAGGGTCTATACTGTTCCCATTAACATTACTCCTCTGAAAGACACTTCTCACCAACACACCTTTTCCTTTATAGCCACTCATCCCCTCCCCAACCATTTTTCCATAGCTGAGGCCATGTCACCCAATATTTTCAGCTCATCAGATTGATTTCCTTACATTCTCCTCTCAGAACTCTCCCACCTCAAATGAGCTTTCTCTGTTGCAAAATCCTTAATGTATGCCACTTCTCCCCCCCCCCACCCCCAGGCTGTCTCCCTCACCAGATGATGAGTTTTCTGCCCAAGAAACTCTAGGAGAACGTTATAAATATTTAAAGAAATAATGAGTAAATTAAAGAAGGAATGGCTTAAAACTTCTGATAAATGGGGTTTATGCCTATATAAGCTGGCTATTATCTCTACTCGGGACTGCAATCAGAAGAATCACTTTTAGGTTCTAGCAGTTCAGTTGTAAATGAATAAAGACTCTTCTAAATTATCAAGACATTATAGTGGCTATTGTTTATTTAAACCTGCAATACTAGATGACAATGGTTTTCATTATTGGCTTGAGGAATATGTCTTTCTACCATTAAACCACACACACAAACCTAACTCACTGCCATCAAGTCCATGCTGACCCCTAGTGACTCTTTAGGACATAATAGAACTGCCCCTGTGAGTTTCCAAGACTGTAACTCTTTACGGGAGTTGACAGCTCCATCTTTCTCCTGTAGAGTAATTGGTAGTTTTGAACTGCTGACCTTGCAGTTACCACCCAACTCAAAACCACTACACCACCAGTGCTACTCCTTTCTACCATTGGACCCACTTATAATATTAAGCAAAGAACGTTGGTGGCCCTGGTGGCACAGTCAGGTGAGCCTTTGTGTTAGTCTGGGTAGACTAGAGAAACAAATTCCATAGACACAAGGCAGGTCACCAACCGCCAGTCCCCAGCTCCAGAGAAGTCTTAAAGGGACCTCAACTTAAAGCAACACAGTCCACAGGCTAGGCGATCCACAGGCAGGCAGTGTAGTCTTTAAATTGAAGCACAGAACAAGCAAGGCAGCTGCACACTGGTCCGATGATCACAGAGCGAAAGACAAGAAAGGCAAGGCTCACCAAGCCATCCATCTCTCTGCCCCTCAGTCAATCCCACCTGCATTTATCAGCCAGGCTGGCACAATAAACTATCTCAGCCAAGTATGTAGATAATTTTGCGCTCAGGCAAAGTGCCTTGGAGAGTGCCTCCACCCCTCTCTGACCAGCCCAGGAAGGGGCAGTCTCTCTCTTTTAGGGGCTTTTCTGGGTGTGTCCTTGATAGGGTCAGCATACTGTGGACAGTACTGTGGGTTGCATAGTCATAAGTCATGCCCTACCAGTCTTCCCCTGACTTCCTTGTTTGGAAGGCTCTGGATCAATCTTGCAAGCCCCTCTGTCTAACATAATGCACGTGTCCCAATTATGTTCTTGTCCCTGCTCTTGTAGTCCTACCTGTAACTGATTTATTCATCTGCCACCAATCAGAATTTGTGACAGATTCCTTTATTTCATGCCCTATTTAATTAGCATCCTGACCCTTCAGGACCACTGGTGAGAGTGGTGATACTGGGAGGGTGGAGGGAAGGTTGGGTAGAAAGGGGGAATCAATTACGAGGATCTACATAATAACCCCCTCCCTGGGGGGCGGACAACAGAAAAGTGGGTGAAGGGAGACGCCAGACAATGTAAGACATGACAAAATAAAAATAATTTATAAATTATCAAGGATTCATGAGAGAGGGCGGGCAGGGAGGGAGTGGAAAAATGAGGAGCTTATACCAAGGGCTCAAGTAGAAAGCAAATATTTTCAGAATGATGATGGCAACAAATGTACAAATGTGGATGCATGTATGGATTGTCATAAGAGTTGTGTCAACCCCCAGTAAAATTATTTTTAAAAAATAGCATCCTGCTGTGAATCCTTGGACACCATTGTGACCTTGTGCTAATGGCCTCCCTCATCTGGATGATGTGTACGTGTCTTTGTGTTGTCCTTGACTGAGACGTAATAAGTATTCCCTTTATACTTGAAAGTGGGGTCTTTTTTGCATCCTCAAACACAACTACTAAGGTAATAATTAGTGCCCACCTCAGTTTGTGTACTGAGATTCCTATTTGCAACATTTGTGACTCAGTATATATTTGTTGAAGGAATATGTGAAAAATTGTAAAGGATCACATTGTCCCAGGATAGATACTTTTCGATGAGATACACAGGCAAGGTGGACTTAAAGAGAAGCACAAAGGCCTATTGTTATTAGATGCCATCACGTTGTTTTCCTATGTACAACAGAAAGAAACACTGCCCTGTCCTGTGATATCCTCACAATTCTCCCTATGCTTGAGCCCACTGATTCAGCCACAGTGTCTATCTGTCTCCTTGAGGCCTTCCTCTTGTTCACCCCCAGCCCCACTTTACTAAGCATGATGGGCTCTCCTGATATCATGTCCAAGAGTATGTGAAGCTAAGTCTTGCAATCCTTACTCTAGGGAGCACTCTGGCCACTTATCTGTCAAGACAGATTTGTTTGTCTTTTTGGAAGTTCATCGTACATTCAATTTTCTTCACCAGAACTACAATGCAAATGCACTGGTTCTTCTTTGGTCTTCTTTATTCAATGTTCAACTTTCACACGCATATGAAGTGACTGAAAATACCATGGCTTGGGTCAGGGTACATTAGTCCTCAAAGTAATCTCCCTACTTTCAACATTCTGAATGGTCTTGTCAGCAGACTTGCCCAAGGCTATGCATTGTTGTTTGACCTCTGAGCATTGATTGTGATGAAGTTATCAAGTTATCAAGATGAAATCCTTGATAACTTCAATCTTTTCTTCACTTATCATGATGTTACTTATCGGTCCATTGTGACCGAGGGCCTGGGCATTCAGAGTTATCTCTACTAGGGACAGTGGGGTGGGGTTGGTGACAGATCATCTCCTTTAACTAACTAGGTTATTTCCCTTGGAACTCTCCTAGGAGTGGTCTTGTTTTCCTGGTTCTTAAAGGTGAGGCGAGGTGCTTCAACGAGAAAAGACCAGTTTTAGTCACAGCTAATGCATGTGAAAGAGATTCACCTTGGACATGGAATTGTAGATTCTCAATTCTGGAAACAGAATTACATGTTGGTCTGCTAACAGCAAAGTCACCAGGCTTTCGACTCCCATAGAGTTACAGTCACAGAAAATCCCAGGGGCAATTCTAGCCTGTCCTATAGGGTGGTTATGAATCAGAAGCGACTCATGTTAGTGAGAAATAGTCTCTCTTTACTTTCCATTCTTCAAAAGGAATTCCGCAAATCAACATTAGACCCCGCCCACTCTGGGCCCGCCTCCTTCGTCGTCGGATTGGCTCTTGCTCCACTTCCGGCTTCTGGTATTCCGGGACCCTACGGCTTCCGGTGTCATGGCGGCCTGAGG